TAGTTGAAATTTATGTGCCAACAAATGCCCCCTCGTGACTTGCACAAGTGAATTTTTTTAACTGTGCGAGTCACGACAAATTGGCACTTTTATCTAGATCCTCTTTAGGTCTTGGATGGAATTATTTCTTGGCCTTGGTCCCTTTCTACCACTTTTCAGGCTTTGTATATATATATATTTTTTAATGGATTGATTGCTCCTTATAGTCCATGGGCCTTTTATTATTTTTTGCTCGCATGAGCCCCTTTTAGGAGTTTGTCTAAATGGAATATGATGGATTGGCATTGGTAGGATTTCTAATCCTACACAAACTCTTACTTCTATGGAGTATTTCAAATCCTACATAAACTCTTGCTTCTTTGAAGTATTTTAGGAGACCACTACCTCTTTTCTTAAGCAAGACTTTTTTCTTTATATTACACCTATTCATATATTTTCCCTGCAGCCCCTTTTTTCCTTGCAGATTTTGTTTCTCCCAGTAGATTTTTTTTGTTTCCAGAAAATCTTTATCCTTCCAGCAACTTTCCAGCCATTATCTTTCTTCTTTTTCCGACAAAAGTTGTTCTTCTTATACTTTAAAGAAGACACAAAAGAATCTCTTCAAACTCCTTTAAATCAGGTATGATTTCTTCTCCATAAAATATTTTCTTTTAGCATGTATATCACCATGTGACAGCACCCTTCCCAAAAATTTTTTACTAGACCCTAAGTCCAAGTAGTTCCAACAAAGACCCTTCTTGAAAGGATGAATAACCTATTGCCTTCTTTCATAACAAAAGTTGTAGCCTCTTTTCTTTTTATTTTTTTACTTTTTATATTTTTATTTTTGCCTGAACAAAAAACCTGCTGCCTTTCAAGCAGATTTTTTTCCTAGCCCAAAGTCTTTCCTGAACAAAGGCCCTTTTTTTTTTCTTTTTTTTTTTTTTTGGGTCACAGTTTAATCTTATTGCTGCCTTATATATATATATATTGTTGTTAGATCATGAACTTAACTAGCCCAGATAAAGAACCCATTTCCGGTTCGGCCGCCGATAAGGCCTTCAATTAATAGTTTAAACATAAAACACGAACAGATCAAACAAACAGTCAACAGATAAAATGCAATTCAAACAGATATATTCACTCAATTCAGTTTCAATTTCGGGCAGTCAGTTCAGTACCTTAATCAGTTCAATTCTCAGTCAGTTATCAGTCATTATCAGTTCCGTTTAATAGTAATCGGTGATTATCGGTAATCAATCAGTCATTAATCAGTAAACAGTATGAGGGTTGTTACAGTTACTTTTTCAAATTTTTGTGGAGGATTACGTAGAGTGATTTGTGGGGTTAGTGATGTTTGGGGGGCGGCTGATGTGGAATTGCGATGTTGTTGTTGGTTGTTATTTATTTTTATTTTTATTTTTTGATTTTGTGATTGATGTTTGGGTGGGCTTATTAAGGTATGATGTTATGTGTCTAATTTTTATTGTTAGGGTTGCATAGAGTGTTTTTTGGGGTTGATGTTGTTGCCAAATCACGTTGTTTTATGATGTGGAAGCGTGGGTCATTGATGTAGGGGGTTTGGATTCGGTTTTTTTTTTTTTTTTTTCCAAAAGCAAAACCTGCAAGAATTTTTCCCTAGATCATGAGTTTAAATAGCCCAAGTAGAATTGTTGACATGGCAGGTCTCTTGTCTTCTGGCAGTGGTCTCAATTGATTCCTGTTGGAATTTTCTGTCATATCTTCAGAAGGTAGGCCACAGAGTTCCAGACCAAGATGGTCGAATTCTACCATCTCCGTTTCAGCTTGTCCATTTTGAATTTAATCTAATCAAAGCCTGCACCCTCGTGATTCGTGCATATGAATTTTAACTATACGAATCACGACAATGAAGTATTTTATTATTATTTTTTATTTTTTTATTTTTTTCCAACCCCAAAGTCCTTGCTTGTAAACATGCACAAAGAGCCTTTTTTTGTTGTAAAAGAAACCTGCTACTAATGAAGTCTCAGGCCCTGTTTAGAAGCTACAATTTTTTTTTTTCAATTATTTCATGTCTTTTTACCTCTTTTGCAGGCAACACGCAAGGCGTCAGAGTTTGTTTATAGGTATCATTGCCCTTTCCAGCCTAATGGCAATGAGTGGCTTGAATCCTTAGTAGTGATTGTGTTCTTTCACCCCAATGGCTTGAATCCTTGGCAGTGAATGTGTCCTTCACCCCAATGGCTTGAATCCTTGACAATGATTGTGTCCTTCACCCCGATGGCTTGAATCCTTGGTAGTAATTGTGTCTTTTCACCCCAATGGCTTGAAACCCTGGCAGTGAATGTGTCCTTCACCCCAATAGCTTGAATCCTTGGCATTGAATGTGTCCTTCACCCCAATGGCTTGAATCCTTGGCAGTGATTGTGTCCGTCACCCCAACGGCTTGAATCCTTGGTAATGATTGTATCTGTCACCTCAACGGCTTGAATCCTTGGCAATGATTGTACCCATCACCCCAACGGCTTGATTCCTTAGCAGTGATAGTGCCCATCACCCCAACGGCTTGATTCCTTGGCAGTGAATGTGTCCGTCACCCCAATGGCTTGAAACCTTGGCAGTGAACATGTACATCACCCCAACGACTTGATTCCTTGGCAAGGGCTTTTGTCAATGACATTTTGCCTTCACTAACCTCTTCTTCCTTTTTTTTTTAAAAAAAAAATTTGTTTAATTTTTTAAAGGAAGCATGGAAAAGACACCTGAATATCTTCGACGTGACGAGAGGAATGTATTGAATAAATCTGGTCCGAAAATAATTCGGGACAAACCTATCACTGCTTTATTGTCACCTACCGAGTTGGACCCCTACATCCTTTTGCATACGGCTTCCGAAGACTTGGTCTATACAAGAATTCGAAATTGCTGCGAGATTCTCGAGAAAGGGCACTCCAAATCAATCGGTTCATTCCCTGTCTCAATCCTCCATCCATTTTCTGAAGACCTTGATTGCTCCGAATTTAATACTCTTCTCAAGAGAATGAAATATGAAAAATTAAGGTGGGATAATTCTTTTAATGTCCGCGGCATCTCCACCCATTTGCAATCCCCTATATGGATTTTTTGGTTGAATGATGTTCTCTCCACATTTGCCCCTATTTTGAAAAAGTGTGGGATTTATGCCGCAATCTATGTATCCCAATTTGCTTATGCTAGGAATGTCGTCTTGCTCAAAGGATTCTTAGAGCGATGGTTACCCGACACCAACACTTTCCACACCATTTACGGTGAACTTGGGATCTCTTTATGGGACCTTCATCGCATTAGCGGCCTCCCCATCCGTGGCGAGTTTTATGAAGAATTTACCCCCTCCAATGACGTTTTATATTCGTCCCAGACATCCAAGGCGTGCCATGGGCTTTTCAACATTTATGCCAGCTCTTTTCAATCCAAGAAGTTTAACCATTGGACTTTCAAATTCATTGACTAATCCCCAACTTCGACTAGTAATTTTCGACGAAAAGATAGAATCCCTGATGATGTGTATCTTTCTGGTTTTTTGGCGAGTTGGCTTAGCGGATTTGTTTTCCCTCACTCTTCCGGGGAAATTCATCCGACTACCTTTCATGCAGCCACCAAAATGGTCGGTGAAACCTTATTTAGCCTGGCCATCCCCGTCCTTGCATACCTCTATCATTCTCTTGGTAAAATGGCATCATCACCTTCACCTGGGAAGGAAAATATTCAGGGTCCTTTGCATTACCTTTTTGGATGGATTTCACTATATTTTGTTAAGACTTACTCTCACGGGAATCCTTTATCGATTTGTCCGATTCCTGATATTCATTTCATGCCATATCTTGGGTTTATTGGAAACCAATCGGCTGCCTAGTTTTTTATTAATAAATTTCCATTTGTGAACTCTCTCTTAACCTATCGTACGGAGTGTCAGTTTAGGGCTCTTACCCATGAAGGTGAACCTTCAGGCATTCTGGTCGACTCTGAAAGGATATCACCTTTCCACCTTGGCTATCTTATATCTTTGAGGCAAGGGATTTTAACTTTTAAAATGGGATTTAATTTCATCTCCGAATTGTACTCCCCAAACCGATACAGTCGTCAATTTGGGTTTGCTCAAGCGTGCCCTACACCGCTTAATGTATCTTGTCGGCAGCCCTCTGAGTGGTCTAAATTTTATTACAACTAGCGCCATATGCTACGCTGCAGTACAAAAGTCTTATTGGAGTTACCAGGCTCCCAATCTACTTCTCACGTAACCATGCCTTATGCCAATTGGTGGTTGGGAACTTCCTTTACTGTGCTCCAATATGTTACTCATACCCAGCCGAAATCTTCATGCAAGAGAAAACTTGATATGTCAATTAAAGACCAAAAGACGAAGAAGCCTTCTTACTCTAGAGCTAGGTCATCATCTTCACCTATTGCTCTGGGAGCATCGTCACCTCAGAGAATGGATAATAGTCGGCCACCTATTGCTCCTTCCCCATCTAGTTACTTGGTTTCAGATCTCCTTCATCTTTTTGAGGATATGTGTAATTCTCAATTTAAAATGAGATTTAACTTTGAGCAAGTAAATTCTGGCCCTCAATTTTCTAGTCTAGCAAAGCTTTTTCCAAAGACTATGTCTATCAGTGATTATACAAGAACTTCCTAACCAACAGTATCGACCAAAACCCCAATGGATCAATTTCGCACATACCTGTATTCTTTTCTTGAAGATAAAGATGAGAATATGATTCAAGAACTCTTTGAGGGAGATGGGTATGAATTAACTGCCTTGGGTCGTATTCGCATTAAGAGTGTTGAAATTCCTTCTCCCACCAAATCTTTTGATCGTTCTCTCAATGGGAGTAGTGAGAGTGAAGATGAGTTTTATTACTACACCCCTCTTTTAAATGGCACACTGACTAAGATGAGTAAATTGCCCCCAGCAAATGTAGGTTTTTCTTCTCGTTCTTCGAACAAGCTATCCAAGTTGTTAGAGAAAGGTATAATTCCTCCATTTTTTTTTTTTTTTAAATACCTTTCATTTTCTTAGGCACTGTGCCTCGGACTTCCCCAGCTACCTCGCATATGCCATTGGCTACCTTTAAGGGTATTCTTATTCATTCCTTGTACCTCATTTTATTTCATCATGTATACATACTCAAGGAACTCTTTTCTTTTTAGATCATGCCACATTGCAAAATCCGTGGTCCACCTGTGGGAATCACAACTTGTCTCCTCCCACACCTAAGTCTCTTCAAGCCGTACACCAAGGTATACTTCATTCACCCATATATATATATATATATATATATTGTTTTTAACTTCTATGTTTTCATTGAGTATCTCCTTCTATTTTTACAGAAATTACTTCTGACACATTGGAAGAGACAGACGAAATTATTTCTGATACCTCGGTAACGGCCCAAATTCTTGCAGACTTACTTGAAGCAAATGGGGTTAACAAATTATTTAACCAACTTGAAGCACCCCTTGCTCCATCTAGCCTTCTTTTGGGAACTTCCTCTAACGAAGCAGCCACCCATGTTCAGAAAGGTCTTATTATTTCTCTCCAATCAATGACAGATGTTAATGGCATAATTGCTATAGCAAACAACGTTTTCATGATTTTGAAGAGTTTGGGTGTAGACTTCATCTCCTTTTACGAGAAGGTGAAGATATTCCTTGGGTGCTTTGCTTTGAAAACCCAACTTGCAGATTCTTCAAACTTGTCTATTGCAGAATTTGAGGCCCAATACTATGAGAAGAAGCTTCATTTCGACAAAGTTTCTAGCGAACATGAACAGTTGTCTGCTTCAATTATCAAGTCAGATGAGCACATTGCGGGTCTTAATCAAAGGATTATTCAAACCAAAGAGTTACTCAAACAACTTGAAGAGGAATTGTCATCCACCCAAGCAGAACATGCATCCTTTATGTGTGATTTTGCACAAGCTTCCGAGAGTGTTTCCAAATCAGAAGAAGACGTGCAAACTGCTCTAAACGTTTTGAGCCAGCACAAGAAGAAGAATGGACAACACGGTGTTGTGGAACATGCTTTTGAAAGGGCTAAGGCTTCTCTTAATGAATGAATGCACTTTTATTTTGTTATTCATCCGAACATAATGTATTTATGAAATTTCGCTCAGTGATAGATTTATTTGTTATATGAAATTTCTCAATACAATACATTGATTTGTCTTATTTTAGCCGTTTACAGTTTATACTCTTGCAGGCCAGGAATATCCAATGTTTCATCACCTTAGATTTCGGTAAGGTATTTTAGCAGTTTAACCACATACAATACCGTTGGTGGTCTTCGATTGTTGTTTGGCCGTACACAGTTTATACTCTTTCGGGCCAGGAGTATCCAATGTTTTACCACCTTAGATTTTGGTGGGGTATTTTAGTAGTTTAACCACATACAATACCGTTTGTGGTTTTTGACTTTTGTTTGGCCGTATACAGTTTATACTCTTGCGGACCAGGAGTATCCAATGTTTTATCACCTTAGATTTCGGTGAGGTATTTTAGCAGTTTAACCACATACAATACCTAACTTTTGCCTAGGCCGCCCTTTCGGGTTTTCAACCTAGCAGGCTTTCTTAAGCGTAATATCTCTTCAAGAACCTTGCATTGGTTGGGGGAATGATTCTGTCACCATCCATCGTTATCAACAAATAGGCCCCATTAGAATAAACCTTCTCAATCACATAAGGTCCTTCCCATTTGGGCTCAAGCTTTCCTTTGGTTCTTCATGAGACTACTATGGGTGTTCTAACCATTAGTACCAAGTCTCCTTTTTTAAAGGAGCGAAGCATCACTCGTTTATTGAATGCATTTGCCATCCTTTGTTGGTAGATCTCCAAGTTATGTTGAGCATACAACCTTTTTTCATCTAGGGTCTCCAGCTCAGCCAATCTCACTCTTGCACTTTCATCTTCTGTTAAGGACTCTTGTATTGCCACTTGCAATGATGGTATTTGAACCTCAGTGGTAACACTGCTTCTCCTCCAAAAACTAACGAATAAGGGGTTGCTTGAGTAGGGGTTCTGTGCGAAGTCCGATAAGCCCATAAAGCTTCTTGTAACTTTTCGTGCCAAGCTCTTTTGTTCTTATCCACCATCTTCTTGAGAATTTTGCACAATGTCTTGTCGAAAGCTTCTGCCAAACCATTGGCATGTGCATGATATCTTGATGAATGGTTGTTTTTGATTTTGTACTTGGCAAATAACTTGTTCAAAGCATCACTCCTGAACGGCTGTCCATTATCCATGATGACACTTTCTGGAATTCCGAACCTGTAAATGATATGGGTTCGGATGAACTCGGAAACAACTGTGCTTTTTATATCCTTTAAAGCCACGGCCTCTGCCCATTTTGAGAAATTGTTAGTAGCAGCTAGAATGTATCGATATCCTACTGAAGATGGAGGTACAAAAGGACCAATAATGTCCATACCCCATGCTGCAAATGGCCAAGAACAAGTTGTTAAATGTAAAGGCTCTGGGGGTTGGTGGAGAAAGTTCCCACGGATTTGGCAGACTTGGCATCTTCGAGCATAATCTATGCAATTTGCAATCATAGTCGGCCAATAGTATCCCAACCATTTTAGCTACATGTGTAATTTAGGACCACTTTGGTATGCCCCACATACACCTGCATATATTTCTGCCATTACCTCTTGAATATGTTCCTTGGCTATACACCGCATGTACATTCCATCCAAAAACCTTTGTATAACCCATCTTTCCACAAGACGAATTTGGTAGCTCTGCGTCTCACTTCAATTCTTTTTACTTTATCTTCAGGTAGCCTACCATGTTGGAGATAAGCTATGAATGGTTCCCGTCAATCCTCTTCGCTTTCTCCCTTCGTGGTGATGACCAAGATTGGAACCAAGTCAGAAACTTCTTTTAAAGGTTGTAACACCCTTCTTTTACCTACCGGGATAGTAATTGTTTTGCTATCTGGTAGGGTGAGTGATGCAGCCAAACTTACAAGTGAATCAGCTCGAGCATTTTTTATTCTTCACGTGGAAAATATGTGTTTTCCTGAATTGCGAAAGCAATTGATCAGCCCTTTCATGATACAAGATGAGACTTGTTTTCTTAACATTGTATTCTCCACGGAGTTGCTTTACAACCAGCTCTGAATCTCCATAAATTGAGAGTTCTTCAATAGGAATTTGTAATGCCAATTCTAATCCAGCAATTGCAGCTTCATATTCTGCCTCATTATTGGAGCATCCTTCACTTAAGGCGAAAGAATGGGTGATTATAGCATTGTCTGGAGTCACAAACACAATTCCAATTCCAACTTTATTGTTTTTAGGATTTTCTTGCTTCTTGCCATCTGGACTCCTTGAAGTTCCATCAAAATACATCTCCCATCCTTTCTGGATTTCTACTTGCATAGCCTCTTCATTTGGCAAATCAGTTACTAGAGGTGAGTCATCAAGTATAGGATGTGCTGCCAAAAAATCTGCTAGAGCCTGCCCCTTTACAACTCTTTGAGGAACATATTCAATTGCGAATTGTTGGAGAATTACAGCCCACTTTGCAATTTTCCCTGAAAGTATGGGCCTTGAAAGTATATATTTCAAGGGGTCTACTCTTGATATCAACTTGACTTTGTGTTCTAGGACATAGTGCTTTAGTTTTTGCAAGGCGAACACTAAGGCAAGACATGTCTTTTCGATAGGAGAATAATTGACTTCTGCCCCAACCAGAGTACGACTCAAGTAATACAAGGCATTTTCTTTCCCATGCTTATTGTGTTGTGCCAACAGTGCCCCTAACGAACCATCCAGGACTGTTATGTACAATAAGAGTGGTTTCCCTTTTATAGGGCTCATGAGTACTGGAGGCGTCAAAAGATACTCTTTAATACTATTAAAAGCATTTTGGCACTACTGATCCCATTCAAATGGAACACCCGTTTTCATCAATCTTGAGAATGGCAAGCATCAACCAGCCAGGTTAGAAATAAATCTTCTGATATAGGCCAATCTCCTTTGTAGCCCCTTCAATTCCCTCAAATTTCGCGAAGGAGGCATGTCAGCGATGGCTTTAATCTTGGTAGGGTCAATTTCAATCCCTTTGTTCCGAACCACAAACCCTAGAAATTTTCTTGAGGAAACTCCAAATGCACATTTTAGTGGGTTCATCTTGAGTTTGTACCTCCTCAAACGTTCGAAGATTCTTCTCAAATCTTCCACATGGTTTTCCTTTTCCTTTGTTTTGACGACAAGATCATCAGCATAGCATTCGATGGTGTCATGGAGCATATCACCAAAAATTATAGTCATTGCCGTTTGATACGTGGCCCCAGCATTTTTCAGGCCAAAGGGCATTACCTTATAGCAAAAGACTCCTCTCGGAATCCTGAATACATTCATTTCCTCATCTTCTGGTGCCATTCAGATTTGATTGTATCCTAAGTATCCATCCATAAAAGACAAGGTTTCATACCCAGTAGTTGCATCTACAAGAAGTTCAGTGATAGGCAAGGGAAAGTCATCTTTAAGACAAGCCTCATTGAGATCACGAAAATCAATACAAACCCTGATTTGACCATTCTTTTTCTTGATTGGCACTATGTTTGCTAGCCAAGTTGGATATTTGACTTCCCTGATGAATCCTGCATTGATAAGCTTGTCGACTTCAACTTCAATTTGGGTTGTAAGCTTTGGTTGAGTTCGCCTCTGAGGCTGTTTAACTGGGTGTTTCTCAGGGTGAATTGCAAGCTTATGGACTACAATCTCTGGATTAAGACTAGGCATCTCACTGTAGTTCCATGCGAATATGTCGCAATACTCCCTTAAGAAGGAAATATATTGTTGAGCTTCTTCTTCCTTTAAATTTGCACTAATGAAGGTTGGTTTGTTTTCTCCTTCATCACCCAGATTTACCTCACGAAGGTCATCAACGGTGGCTTGGCCTCCTGCTTCAAATTCTGTTGGTGCAGGTTGAGCTTCATCTTGGTCAACATCTTCCAACACATATTGAGTGATAGTCATGTTTACTGGAAATTTTTCCTCATCCCCCCGATAGCCTAGCCCTTCTGTCCTAGCGATGATAATACCGTCTTGCTGGATAGCCTGCTTCTACGAAGGTGTTAATGCAAAGTCAAAGGGTGTCATTGTTCCTAGTATTTTTTCAGTATCTAAACCAACTTTTACCAACATCTGTGTAATTTCTGCATTGAAGGTAGGCTTCTCAAAACTCGAGATGTTTTCTTCTGGCACTTGATCAACTTTCACTTTCTATTCAACATCTCCAAGTGAATGGAATATGATGGGTTTCGACCCTTTTCCTTTAGGAGGGACCACAATCTTATTATTTCTCCACATAGGTGCATTATGTCCTCCTTAATGGCAACGTGAACTCACCCTTGAGATCCAAAATTGGATTTATTAGGGCTAGAGCCTTTGCCCCTGGTTTCCTTTAGGACTTTGGCACATATCGAAAAGTTCTTTTGTTGAAACTGGAGTAGACTCTAGAGCGTCTTTGACATTCGGAGTATCTTCAGACTTCACATCTTTTCCCTTTCTTTGTGAAGTCTTTGTATAGAAACGAGCATCAGCATAATAGGCCTTTACTTCTCCAAATGGATCATTGTCAGCCACAGTTGTCCCCTCTTTTTTAGGTGAAGGCAATAGGTACTTGATACATTGGTGATAAGTTGATGGTACTGCATGATGATTATGCATCCATGGTCTCCCAAGCAAAGCATTGTAGGAGGTGTCTACATCAATAACCAAGAACTCAATGCTTTCTTCAATATCCCAAACTTGGTCCGTAATTCAATCTTCCCCATTGGGCGTTGTTCATTCTGATTAAATCCTTGAATGACCAAACGACTTGGACGAAGTTGTGAAATTCGAACCCCTAATAAGTTTAAGGCGCTCCGAGGCAGGAGGTTTACCACAGATCCTCCATCAACTAGAATTTGAGAAATTTTCACATCATGGATAAGCCCAATGATAAACAAAGGCCGATTATGGTCTGTCATTTCAGCACACATATCTTTGTCACCAAAGGTTACCATAGCCATGCATGTAGTTGTCTTCTCTTGATTTCTACCCTCGATTTCTTTGTGGAAATCCTCTGGCTTGGACAGAGCATATATTAAAAACTTTCGAAGCTCTAGAGACATTTTCAGTGCGTCATATACGCTCAACAATGCTGGAGTTTTCTTTAGATGAGCTAGTGCATCATGTTTCACTTGCTCTTCCTCCAGCAAAACCTGTGGAACTTTTGACGTTTGAGGGTCCTGAGGATTTCGTAATTTCCTCCGGTGGGTCAAGTAAGTCTGGCATACTTCAGCAACTGCCTTTTCGTTGACCTCAACTTCTTTTGTTCTCTCACCTATTTGGACCATGTTAACTGGTCCAGCTGCAGGGTGATCATCATCATCATCAGTCACTTCTCCATCTTCCTGAAGCTGCATTCTTCTCCTATTTCTTAAGTACCGGGAGTCACGCCTATAAAAGCATTGGGATTCTACAAAACCGTTCTTCATGGCCTCCCAACTAGGCACCACGACCCCTTCGATGGAGCAATACCAGTCAAAGGCAATCCCCTTCAAAGAAAGGGGGAATTGTTTTAGGCAAAGTGCTTGATTCTGAGTCATTTCCCCACACTGTTTCAAAAAACGCCTAATATGTTTTTGAAGATCTCCATACCCTTCATATAGGACAAAATTCGGAAGTTCGTATCCTTCGGGAAATCATATGTGCCTTCTATGAAATCATATGTTTGAGAAGATGTACCCTCGTCCTCCAAATGTTCTGACATCTCAATTTTTATTGGCCATGGTTTATAAAATGTCCTATAGAATCGATCAGTCATTGTGTCCCAATCTGGGATTGAATTAGGTTGCAGGCTGAAGTACCAATCTGCTGCCCACCCCTCCAAAGAAAGAACGAACTGCCGTAGAAGTAACGCCTGGCTTTTTACTGTGTTTCCACATCGTGCAAGGAAACGAACCAAATGGCACCTTGGACAACCTGTCCCATTATATAAAGGAAAACGAGGTACTACATATCCTCGTGGGAACTGAACCCATTCGACCCAATTAGGGAAAGGATGTCCAGAAATTTGATTTCTTTCAATAATCAAATTTTGATGGGCTTCAAAACCCTCATTTTTCAAAGAGACTGTTACTTTTGCCTAATATTCCGCTTCCCTTCTAGCTTCAATTTTTGCTTTCTCATCATCACCTGGATTGCGAATGATACGTATTTCTCGCTCTTCAAAATTTACATCCACAGTGATGACATTACAAGGAAAGTCAAAGTGGTCACTTGATACACTTTCTCCATCGTATGTCCTAGCTGGGGATGTGTATGGTGAACCATCAGGAGAAAAGTCAAGTTCCCAATCTTCATTAGGATCCTCAACTTGAGATGACTTTGCTTGTTTACTTGAATGCTTCCATACTTCATCATCCGACTTACACCTGTCATTCACCTCATCATCCTTAAAGTGTAGTCGTTTTTTTCGCCTTTTTCACAAGCTCAAAGTCGGACCTACACCCAGTGTCTCCTTGTTCTGTTCCCCTTACATATTCTGGAGTGCTTTGATAGTACATTGGTGGTACTGGCGAATATTCTGGAGAAAAGGCTTTTGGTGTGTACTCTGGAGAAGCTGGTGTATACTCTAGTGAGGCTGGTGTGTATTCTGGAGAAGTTGGTGTATACTCTGGTAAGTCAGGTATGCAGATAAGAGATGTAATGCAATCT